CATATATTTATACATATTTTACGTACATTTTGCATATATATTTTATACGAACATGTATTTCTATACATAATCATGTGACATTAATTAGCATATGCTTGCACGTTTGTACATAATTTATATATACATTTAATTAAAATAAATTGTGTGTATGTGCACATGTCATATATCAGAATTTATTATTAATACTGCTATTTGGTTTATATATATATATATATACACACAGCAAAATCCCCAGAGTTAAATCAACTCTGCTCAGAGCACATATTGTCCCAATCTACAGAGTGTTAAAGTAACACTGAATAGGGCTGCAAGATAAATATCGCACGATATTTAATGCGCATCTCGTCAGTGTAGTAAATGCTGCTCCACGTGAAAGCACGCATGTGATGGAGATTTACCGCTGATTACAGAACCGGCTTTACTGACGAGATGCTCATTAAATATCGCATGTGATTTATTGTGCAGCCCTACCACTGAAGCAGAGTTACAACTGTTGAGGATTATGTGATACGTTTTCATGTCTAAAAGCCTGAGCAGTAGTTGTTCATCTTCAACATTGTTAACAGCGGGTTTTCTTTACTAATGCTCACTCATCAATTAATTAATTGCTTAATTATCCCATTAACTTTAACTCAGCTTCAGTGTTACTTTAACACTCTGTAGATTGGGACAATATGTACTCTGAGCAAAGTTGATTTAACTCTGGGGATTTTGCTGTGTGTATATATATATATATATAATATATATAGGTGTGTGTGTTCACAGACAGTGATGCAAACTAAATTATGACTTTTTGTTGTGCGAAACCATGTAGATCAGTGGAAAAATGTGTTATACAAGTGTAGAGTCTGTGTTTTTACCATGTGCATATGTGTTTTATGTACCGAAGTGGCAGCTGTATGTAGTTCACAAACCCATCTGTGCAGTATGTGTCTCCTGATGTCAAGAACATCCATCTATGTTGTGTTTAACACTCCTTAAAAAAGCCTTTCAGAGTGCGTCAAGTTGAGGAGATTCATGAAGACGTGTGCTGCCTTGACAGCTCCTCAATCATCTCTCGTTCTTGCCTTGGAGTGCATTTAAGGTTTATGGCGTCTTGCAGAAGTTTGGACGCTGCCGTGTCCACCTGTTCTCCAGCACATCTGCGGTCCCTGCAGGCCTGGCAGAGATAGAGCGCAGACGCAGCCCTTCGGTGATCCACCGATGTGACAGAAACAAGTCAAGTGTGACTTCCTCACCCAAACGCACCTCTGAGTGGCAGAGAGAGAGAGACGCTGGGCTATTTTTATGCCATCTGCTGACAGTCATGCATGCATGCATGAATCCGTCCCGCAGCGCTCTATACGTGACAATGTACCATGCCATGTACAGTACTCTCCTGATAGAGTGTGGAGAAGGGTTAACTACAGCTTGCTGTTAATATTTATATTTATGATATGTTCTCTATGTTTTGTTGTCGATTACACATTGTATGTAAGATTTGTATGGGAGCCTGTTGCTGCCACTGAAAAAAAATAATAATAAAAGGTAACTGCAACTTCTCACAATTCTGACTTTTTCTTTGCAATTATGAATTTACATCTTGCTATTCAGACTTTTTTTTTTCTCTGAAATTAATTATTAATTATAATAATTGCCGTCGGCTAAGAAGTCTGTGTTATTTGCATTGCTCTCTTCCTGCACTTAAGTGCGAACTGTATTTTCGATAGCCAATAGCCTATAGCAGAAGTCCATACTGCCAAATCTTCATATTTCCACAACAAGATCAACAGCAGTTTATCCGAGTTTATGATTTGCATTTCTGACTTTCTCCTCTTAGTTTATTTCTCACAATTCTGACATTTTTCATCGCAGTTGCAAGTTTACGTCTCGCAATTCTGACTCTTATTCTCAGAAATGCGTGATATAAACTCGAAATTGCAAAAATTAAAGAATTGCGAGACAAACTAAAAGGTTTACAGTATATCTTGCAATTCTAACTTCTTTCTCTTAATTGCTAGTTTATATCTTGCAATTGACTTTTTTTCTTTATCACAATTTTATTTCTTGCAATTCTGACTTTCTCGCAATTGCGAGTTTATATCTCGCAATTCTGACTTTTTTTAATTGAAATATAAACTTGCAACTGTGAGTTATAAAATCTAAAAACTGTATAATTTCTTACAACTTTATATTGCACAGTTCTGACTTCATAACTACTTGTTTTAAAGTCAGAATTGCAAGATATCTCACAATCTGACTTTATAACACACAATTGTGTTTATAGCATGCCATTCTGAGAAAAAGAGTTGTCAGAATTGTAAGATAAAAAATAGCAATTACCTTTTTATTTTTTTAATTAGTGACAGAAACAAGCTTCCATAGGTTTGAGAGCGTCAAGACCAATCCATTTCAGATTTAAACCGAATTAGTTGAAAGGTTTGATTCATTTTCACAAATCAGTTCTTTCGAACAGTTTTTAAGGTAGTCACTTTGGTTTTTGAAATAAGATGCTGCAGCAGAGGCAGAAGCCCACGCAGGCAAACCGAGCGACCGGACGGACGATGGATTGAAAAAGAGGTTGGTAAAGTGATTAGCATCCTTCCAGGGTGTTGCCTTGGCAACAATAAATTAACCAGTAAACAGCGCCGAAACCACAAGCACGGACGTTCCAAATGGTATCAGCATCCATAGTTTTGTCATCAGTCAATGGAGCCAGTCATATCGCTCTCGGCAGGTTTCAAATGAACAGACTTTGAGATGAGAAGCAGAAAAGGACACAGAAGTCCCATAGATCTCGTCTCAAGGTGAACGAGGGACAATCAATATGGCGATGTGAACCTTGGGCCGTTACTTATGTGAGCTTTAGGACAAACGCAGGGTTAAAAGCTTGCAGAAAGGAGATTAGATGAAGATTTTCAATCTTCAGCAGAGAGAGCATATAACAACATAAAGACACATAATCCTGCTTTAGGAAACACTATATGAGGTCATGCTAGACTACTAAAGCTAAAAATAAAGCAATCAAGCAAACCAACGGAAAAAAAAACTATTACTACTACTATGCTATATACTATTATGTTATTGTAAAATATAAATAAACTATATATATATATATATATATATATACGTTAGATTTATAATATTTGAATTATAATATATAATATTTATGTAATTATTTTTATATTTATATCATTTATGTAACATATATATATATATATATAAAATCATGGTGGTATTTGTACTTGTACTTTGTAATTGTCTTTATGCTGAATTGATTAGGAAAATCCTGTGATTTTCATGCTTTAATGCATGTGTGTGAGTGTTATGTGAAGTTCTTCTCAAGCTTGATCCGTTCGCCTCGAACCACGTCCTGACCAGCATGCCTCAGTCCGTCCACATGTTACCCAGCAGCCCTGTGACTCTCCATGTGAGCGAGAGGCCTTTATCTGCTGTGAACGGCCTCCTCTGTCCCTCTCACGGCTGCGTCTGCGTGTGACTGCCGCTGTAATTGTGTTTGAGACGTCGGCGCCTCATGGCAGAGAGGACCAGGGTGGAGAGGAGAGACGGGGAGAGGGTGGGCGTATGCTCTTGTGATCGGGGCGTATGACTGCTGAGAGCAGCAGCACTGACTGCATGTGTGGATCAGTGATAAACAGCAGGAGTAGAGAGAGAGAGAGAGAGAGAGACCGGCGGCCCCTGGAGACAGACAGAGAGACAGACATGTTGAAATTCTGCACCACCCCTCGCTCAAGGTGTGTAGCTGTGTGTGTGTGTGTGTGTGTGTGTGTGTGTGTGTGTTCGCTGCTGGGTAGATGTCATCTGCTGAGTTTTCATCTGGGTTACATCATGCTTGGCTCTGTCCTGTTGCGAAATCAGACTCAAACCAGTCTCTGATGGCGAGTGCTGGTTTTACATAGATTCTGACTGCTCAGAGCTGGTTTAGATGGTGGTGCTGAAGTCAACCTGGTAGACCATTATGGTCAAATGAGTTTAGATATATGTGTGTGTTTATAAATAATAACCTGTTTTTAATCAATTATTTTATTGTATATTTTATTTATTTAATTGTTTGTTTGTTTTAAAGAAATTAATACATAATTATTGGGGTGGGCGTTAAGTAATTATCATTATTAATTAACTTTTTAGTGTAATTTATTATTTTCACATTATTATCATTACATTATATATTTGTTATAAATTTATGCATATTTATTGGAATTATAAGTATTTATTTTAACAATTATAGTTATTTATATAATTCTCTTTCTCACTATAATTTATTTTGATATCTAAGATAACGTTTTTAATCATTTATTTTTATAATTGTATTGGTTGTTAATCAGGTAAGGAGTAATGCATCACCTATATTTATTTATTTGTTTATTTCACAAAAGTTAGAAATAAATTTATATATATATATATTTATATATATGTGTGTGTGTGTATACATGTAATTTATTTGTTCTTATTAAATTATATTAATATTTACATATTTTATAGATAATTTATTTTAATTTCAATCATTTTATTGTTTATTTCTGTTTTTAGTAAAAGGGTTAGTTTTTTGTTAAATCTTTTTTACTCACATTATGATTTTTGTTTGTTTGTTTGTTTATTTTACTTCTTGTTTTTAACTTAAGTACATAAACCAAAAATGCTCAGTGCTGTTGTAATATAGTAGCCAAATACACACATGACAACACCTCAGTTAAATTCTACATGTTTTACATATTTGTTGTGGCAGCTAGAAAATATCCTGCATGTGTCTACCAGTGTAGACTGCGCAATAAAACCGTGAATGCGACCGTGCCAAGGTTTTCTCCTCTCGGTTGGTGACTGTGTTCTATGTTCTCGTCTTGTTCAGATGGTCTGATGTTTAGCAGCAGGGCAGCACGTGAATCCCGTGGCTCATTCAATCATTTCAATCATCGAACAGCTCTTTATCGAGTGTCAAAGTGTGAACAGCAGTCTCACATGTCTCTAACTCCCACAATTTCTGTTTCTTTTCTCTCCTGCAGTCACAATGAGCGAAAGGTGACCTGCAAGCATCCCGTCACAGCCGTTCCTTCGCAAGACAACTGCATCTTTGTCGTCAACGAACAGTGAGTCATTTCTTTCTCTCTCTTCGTTTCCTGCAGCATTGAGTCAGAAACAGAGCGCTTTGTCTGAACTTGACACAGAAATCACATTCATACTGCCTAATGCACTGCACAGTCATTTTTGGGGTGGATTGAATGTTGTTTAATAGGGGGGTATAAAGAAATGAGATAATTAAAGTATTCATATTTCAGAGTAAGTCAAAAGATTGTTTTTTTGGGTCACTCGGCGCAAAAAACCTTTATTATTTTCTATTAGTCTGCTGATGGGTACATGAGTTGAGTGAATCTTACAAAAAATATGGTCAGAATATTATATAAATTAATTGTGTTAAAATGTGACCTGAAATGCTTTAATGTAAAAATCTAATTTCATTTGCAGTATGAAAACAATTGAATTATGAATTTTATTATTATGAAAATATATGTATATTTTTTTCAGTATAATTATAATTAATGTTTATTTAAATATTAAATAAAATCCTCTCTCTCTATGTAGTTTATTTTAACATCTAAAATAAATCAATTTTTCATAATTTATTTTTTAAATATATTTTTATTCCAGTTTTTTTATTATATTTTAAATAATTGATCATTTACTTTTTTATTTTATGAATTTTCTAATTTAAATATTTTCTTAAATGGGTGTTATGAGAAATCGGATATCACAGTAGGAACATTTTTAATTATCCGTACCATATTATTCAGATATGTAGTTTTATATAATTATATAAAATGTGATTATTTTATATATAATTATTAACTTAATTTTTGCACCTATTTGCACTGATGTGCAATATAATTTCTTTGATTTTTGATGAAGCAGATTTTGTTTGAATTTGCTTTGCTATTAGGATGAAACATTGTATTTGCAATATGCATAAATATACAAATATGTATGTATATTATATAAATGCATAATTTAGGTTTATGTATGGTGTATATATAGGTCATATTAACCCCAAAATCATATCTTTATATAAATGTTTTCTTGACATTTTTAATGAGATTCATCCGAAAGCATTACTATTCCCGTTCCGTCTGCTAACGGATAACGTGTTACTATTTATGTGCGCGTTTGAAAAGAGTGAGCCTCTAAATAGTCAACACACATTTTCACACAAAGCCACTAGCAATTAACAGGCCAGCAGTTAATGAAGAGCTGCATCCGGACCGCTGTTCAGCTGGACTGGAGTCATGACTTTATCCAGTTCTGCTCCTCTTCACAGCTCACCTCTCCTGTCCAACGCGAGCTGCTCTCCTGATAATTGCCCTCAAACCGCTGTCAAACACATCTCTAGTCTTTATCTCGCTCCCTTTCTCCTACGTCCTCTAGCAAAGTCAACAACTTCCCTCCATTCCTCTGCCGTTTATCCAGTCTCTGTTCACAGATAGTGAATAAACGTTGCTGCAGATAAACTTCAGATCCTTTCACTCTGAACAGATGATGGGAGAGACTGAACTCGTTTGGGAAAGAACCGTTTGTGCTGCAGATATTTGCATCTGATGAAGATGAGCGGGAGGAGGGTTTGTTCACTCTCGTGTTGTTTCAAACAAGGCTGGGTGATTTTTCCAATTCTATCGGTTAATTCGAATGTAATGTTTTGCCACGATTTAATTTTTTTATAAATTGAGGAATCGCCATTTTGAATACAAATATTGCCAAACGTTAGAATTAGACACTTTGGCAATAACGGTAAAAAACGTACGTGATTAACCACTTACTAGGGCTGTGTGATATTGAAAAAATGCGATACGCGATACCTTGTTAAAAAATACGATATTCGATATGCGATACGATATTGCTTAAAGTGTGAAAAATCTATTTAAATCATATTTTAAAATATTTAAAAATGAAAATTATGTAACCAATTTGTTTCACATTCTTTCTTGGAAAAGAAAGAATCACTACAACTTCTGAAAGTGACCAGCAGTGTTTTAGCAGTGCATAAAAAGTAATATCACAAATCAGAAAATGTCATTTTCACATCAATGTGAATGACAAAAAAATGAATGACACTAATTTGATATAATTGTGACTTTGCTTTCCATACACTTTAAGTACTTCTTCATAAACCACAGCAAAAACTATAGTCTGAGAACGTTGGATGTAGTTGTAGTTCATGCGTCTTTTCTGCAAAGATATATAACAAGTGATTTGTTTAACATTTGCATCATGTTGACAACTTCATGTGTGCTGCACTTAGAATAGAATTTTCTTTAACTAGAGGGTTAATAAAGAAAAAGTTACTTGAATCATGTTGTAGTTACATTTTCAAGTTGACTAGTTAAAAATCGTACAAAATTGAGAATCGGTCAAATGTTCTGAGAAAATCGAGATTTAATTTTTTTGCCATATCGCCCAGCCCTATTTCAAACCGTTTGACTTTGTTCCTTCTGTGGAAAAAAAAAAGATGTTTCCCATTACACTTTCAACCTCCAAAGATGAGATAAAATGACAAAAAAAAAGAATTATAAAAATCAACTGTGTGACTTGTGCAACATATTGTAGGTAGTATTGTTAACTAAATCTAAAACTTGTTAAAAATTATTAGAAATTAGAAATTATTAGAAATTAGAAGTTAGAAATTAGAAAAAATTTAACAAAAACTTCAATTAATCTTTGTTATAGCTGTTTTGTTAACATTAGTGACATATTCAGCAGCACGTACTGTATTTATAGGCTGCTGTCACTTTAAATCCGACTGCAAGGATCCAGTATAATAATACACATCCGATTTATTTCTCAGCTGTTTACATTCATTTAAAACATAACCGACTGCGTTTACGAGAATGATCGTCGAGACAGGTACTATTGACATAATTCTGTGTGTATGTGTCTGTTCAAACATAAGGAGGAGATGTGAAAGACGAATCAACTCGGTCTGAAACACTTAACTCTTTTTAACGTCAAGCAATTCTCTGCTATATGCATCGAACTAAAACTAAAACTAAAACTTTGACCTTTTGCAGCATTTTGATTTAAGTAGCCTATTATTAAAAAGATTCAAATATCGCAAGCCGTTGTGATATGCGTATCGCAATATTTACATTTGCGATATTTCGATATTTTCGATATATCGTGCAGCCCTACCGCTCACGTGTGACGCGCTCTGTGAAGGACCATAAGTAGAATATATCGCTTGGTGCCATTCACACAGAATGCACTTTTGTGTTGACAGAGATGCGACGCGGGCAGTGGAATAGGAAAAAATGCAAGAAGATGGGAGTTTAACATCTTTTAATAACTAGAGCACCGCATTTTATAAAACCGTTTCATTCATGAAACGCGAATGCAACAGTCAAACGTGTCCATGTTTACATAGAAAAAAAATGGAAAAGCAGCGCAAGCGAATAAAAAACCTGTAAAGAACTACTACTGTATGTCTGATATTTCATGTTTGCATCATGCTGACAGGCTGAAAGCTGCTGTTCATTGTTTTTACAGAACATTTATAGTTAATAATCGTGTTATACCTTCAGTCATTTTGAGTTTGAATTACGTTGACTTCTAAGATTTTTATAAAGCATTTTTCTCGTATTATTTCTGAACATATATGTATAAGACAAGTTTGTACAGGATGTAGTTGTAGTTCATGCGTCTTTTCTGCAAAGATATATAACAAGTGATTTGTTTAACATTTGCATCATGTTGACAACTTCATGTGTGCTGCACTTAGAATAGAATTTTCTTTAACTAGAGGGTTAATAAAGAAAAAGTTACTTGAATCATGTTGTAGTTACATTTTCAAGTTGACTAGTTAAAAATCGTACAAAATTGAGAATCGGTCAAATGTTCTGAGAAAATCGAGATTCGCCCAGCCCTATTTCAAACCGTTTGACTTTGTTCCTTCTGTGAAAAAAAAAAGATGTTTCCCATTACACTTTCAACCTCCAAAGATGAGATAAAATGACAAAAAAAAAGAATTATAAAAATCAACTGTGTGACTTGTGCGACATATTGTAGGTAGTATTGTTAACTAAATCTAAAACTTGTTAAAAATTATTAGAAATGTATATATATATATATATATATATATATATATATATATATAAATGTGTATGTATAAAGTTTGGTCATATGTATAGATATATAGATATAGATATATAGACATAATATGATATAAACCTAAAAAACTGTCAGAAGTTTTAATGTATATTTTCATATTTTTGTAAAATAAGCTCAAAAATCTAATCACAGTGGCATATAAAGCAAGTGACTAAAACTTTAAATAAAATAAAATAAGAAAATTGACGGTATAAAATTAAAAGCTCTTTTAATGTGTATATATTTATATTTTTATATTTTTTTGTAAAATAAACCCCAAAAACTAATAAAAATGACAAAAGCACATACAGTATGAAACAAACGCACAAATGATTAAAGATTCCTAAATGCATCTACTTTCGGAAGGCCAAATAAAGTGCTTTTGCTTTCGCCTAGAAACACACAACGTCTCCCTGACATGGCTGTTTCAACACTTTCTTTGTGTGCACATTTGGGCGGCATTATGCAAATATTTCCACATAGTGAGGTAGATATGTGGGGGCGTGTTAGAACGAGCTGTTTTAGGGGGGTGTGGCAGAGTCTTAACTTTGATAAAGAATATCTCTTTGGTTTTGAGACTTTAGTCTTTGCAACTTCAGGGATCTTATCTATGCACGATCAGCTTGTAACACTCCAAAGAGAAAGGAATACTTGAAATCGCATCGTATGACCCCTTTAAAGCTTGAAATACAATTAAGACGACAACTGAACATATAAAACTAAAAGTTAAATACTATAATAATGCTGATTGCAGGTCTTCTGAAGTGCTCAAGTCATAAACCCTGCTTTTATAATGCTGCTTTTATCTGTCTTCATTGATTTTCAGTGTTTGAAACGTTTTGTTATACATCTCATGTAGTTTTCTATTGAAGAACGACCATCATGCAGGTTTGAAACAACATGAGGGTGAGCGAACGATGACAGCACTTTCATTTTGGGTGAATTATTGATGTAATGA